TTTTGGGGTCCCTGACACCCCCTGTCCCCGCAGCCTGCGCAGCTCCAGCTCCAAGCTGGCCCAGCTGACCCTGGAGCAGATCCTGGAGCACCTGGACAACCTCCGGCTCAACCTGACCAACACCAAACACAACTGTGGGTACCGACCCCAAAACGGGACCCCTGACCCATCCAAACCCATCCCAAATACATCCCAAATACATCCCAAACCATCCCAAAAACATCCCAAACCATCCCAGACCCAGCACAAACCATCCCAAATACATCCTAAACCATCCCAAACCATCCAAAACCCATCCCAAACCATCCCAGACCCAGCACAAACCATCCCATCCCGACCCCAAAACGGGACACGGGGGGGTGGGACCCCTGAGCCAGCACAAACCATCCCAAATACATCTTAAACCATCCCAGACCCAGCATAAACCATCCCAAATACATCCTAAACCATCCCACCCCGACCCCAAAACGGGACAGAGAGGGGCTGGGACCCCTGAGCCAGCATAAACCATCCCAAAAACATCCCAAAAACATCTCAAACCATCCCAAACCCATCCCAAACCATCCCAAACCATCCCAGACCCAGCACAAACCATCCCAAAAACATTGCAAACCATCCTAAACCCATCCCAAACCGTCCCAAACCACCCTAAACCATCCCTGACCCAGCACAAACCATCCTAAACCATCCCAAAAACATCCCAAACCATCCTAAACCATCCCAAATACATCCCAAACCATCCCTGACCCAGCACAAACCATCCCACCCCGACCCCAAAACGGGACAGAGAGGGGGGCTGGGACCCCTGACCCCGCATAAACCATCAGAAACCATCCCAAAAACATCCCAAACCATTACAAACCATCCCTGACCCAGCACAAACCATCCCAAACCATCACAAACCCCAAACCCATCCCGAACCATCCCAAAACCATCCCAAACCCACCGACCCCATCCCACCCCATCCCAAACCCATTCAAACCCATCACAAACTGTCCCAAACCCATCCCAAACATCCCAAACCCATCGCAAACCATCCGAAACGATCCCAAACCCATCCCAAATCTACTGACCCCATGCCAAACCCATCCCAAACCCACTGACCCCATGCCAAACCCATCCCAAACCTGTCGCCGCCCCACTGACCCCATCCCAAACCCATCCAAACTCATCACAAATCATCCCAAACCCATCCCAAACCATCCCAAACCATCCCAAACCATCCTAAACCATCCCAATCCCATCCCTGCCCCATTGACCCCTCTCTGTGCCCCACTGACCCCAATCCCACCCCTGTGTTCCCGCAGTTTTCAGCCAGACCCCGATCCTGCAGGCGCTGCAGCACGTCCAGGCCAGCTGTGACGAGGC